TTCCAAAGCTGACTTACAGTCATTCGTCGGTTTTTAAGTGAGGTTTTTTCCATTTTACATCGAAAAAAAAGGGGAAGAGAACTAATTAAGCTTTTTTTTTAGGTTTGTTTTTTTATATTGCATTGATAAACAAACCGACATTAAAGTTTGGTCACACATGCTGGGCACGGTCGCGTTTTTTCTATATATGATTTGTAACACATTCGATTCTCGTTATATACGTCGAGAGCTGTACAATCAAAGTCCTTTACAATAGCGCCATATACACCGAGGTCGACTTTTACCGAAGCAAAAAATTGAGGACCCAATTTTCAATTATAAAAATGTCCGAACGGTTAGAATAACGATGTTTACTGTGTTTAAATACTTCTCTATATACATGTAATATTACACGCGTTTTCAGAATCTATCTAAGAACAACTTTTCTATAGCAACAAATTTTGGTTTTTTTTTATAAAGAGGGATATCGATGTAATTATTGTCGATTCCATCCTTCACCGCGTATTTCTTCACTAGGAACGAAAATAGGCAATGGATGTGCTTCCGTATTAAACACATATTTATCGAGTGATAATAGATCATTATCAGGATCTTCGAATAGCAAGTATAAATATTTTAATGTTTCCGCCTATAGAAGAATTAATCATAAAAATTTGTTAAGTTAAAAAAAAGTCTATTTCTATATATATAAAAAAAGAATACAGACCAGCCAAAACGTTGGCATATTATCCGTTCTTTTAGGAGGAATTGCGTCAACATCCACTATTTCGGTGTATCCACCTTCAGGAAATCTCGAATAGTTTTCAAATGATTGAAATATTCTCCATCCCCATTCCCTAATTAAAAAAAGATTTTTCAATAAAAAACTGCATCAAGTACTTAAATGTCAACAAATAAAGAAATTCAACTTGCCTGTATTGAATATCCCCCGTCACGCGCCAAAGCAAAAATAAACTTTCTACAGTCTCTGGTCTTAAAACATTGTGTTTTCTACCATTATCATACAAAGTATCCCCAGTCGAATTTGTATTATAAAGAACATACTCCGGTGCCAATCCTGTCGCTTGTGTAAAATACATTTCGCAGCAAGTATGTGTTAACTTTTTGCCGATAATTAAATTCTCCTCTGAAAAACTATCGTGGATTTTTTCAGAACCGAGAGCGAAAAGTGCCCCGGCGAAACAAGTTAAATGTTCCATTCTTGGCACAAATCTTGTTTTCTTTCCCCCGTTGTAGTAGTAGAATTCTCCGAGGTAAAATAAATGACTGGAATTTGTTCTTTTAAGCAAATGCTTTTTAACTCCTGTTATCGCTTCGTTGTACATGCGGAGATACATTTGCTCGGTTTTGTTGGTCAATAAATACTGTTTCAATAGATATTCTAATAACACGAAGAAAATTAATTACAATAACATCAGTATGTATATAGTTAGAACTCCAGATAATATAGAGATAAGGTTCGATGTGTTGCATTATAAGGCAACTTAACATAAGATGAATATAAAAAATACTGTAGTTAAAACTCGAAACATCTGTGTATACAAACACGTGTATTTATATACCATAATAACTATCTCCAAGGGCTCCCAATCCAATCAGAGCTCCAGAAAAGGTGGCTCTTGAAACGCTACGTAAAAAAATTAACTGTTAATTAAAAGAAGAAATAAAGGTAAGAAGAAGAGTTTTTACCTTACGTAATTTCGTGCGAGACCATCAAACTTTTCTAGTTCATCAATGCGCAACATGATTTTCTCTACGTAATTCCAATATTTTGGATCACCAGTCAAATGACTCAAATACTTGAATTCCAACTGCAGTGTTCCAATATCTGCAAGACAAGATCCGTCATAGTTCCGCCTTGACGTACTATTTAAATTCACAAATTTAATTGGAAAAACACTTTCAGATTGATTAAAAGCTCCCAATAATCTATCCGCCAAATCTGTAGCTTTTGTTAAGTACATATGATCTTCTCCAGATAAGTGATACGCGCTCAATAACCCACCCAATACACGAATTGTTGTCTCGAAAAGTGACACGTAGCTGTTTTGATTGAAATCTAATACATTCGCAACCCATTCACGTGCTGTTTTATATTCCTCATCTAGTCCCATAATTATAAGTACATCCAGCGAGTCAACAATCATAAATCCAATTCCATCTTTGCCATAAAGATTTGAACCATTTTGGGCAACTGGATGATATTCGTCGAATCCCCAAGCATCTCGCGAGTAACCCATCCATGAGTGCAAAAATGCATTTCGCACTTGATTTTGACGTGTTTTCCATTTTTGTTTGAAAGCGTTTATCTCTTCGTTTCTTTGGTATTTCGTCGTGATAAAGATTAAATTCAAGGCTAGTATAACGAATATTAGTAACACAGTGATTATTTTACACCATGATATTTGAAAAGGTTTAATCTGATAAATAAATGTCAGTTAAAATTTTTATTTTCCAAATTTTTGACCCAATAGAAAAGTTTCCAAATGTACACACTAGAAAGAAGAAAGATTTGATAAGTTAAGAAACAGATTCCCAGAAACACAATCCATCTTATAACATAAAATTAAATTTACCCTTAGACATGCTTAAAATTTACTTTTAAATTTATCTCGAATTCTTTTGTTCAAGTGTTGTAATGACAATGAGTTATTCATTGTTCAAATTCACTACATTTTAAAGAATTCGAATCCAGGAACGGTGATGTGTACATACCATTTTAGTACTATGTCCTACTCAATAGAAACTCGAAACGTTAGTAAATTACATATCGATATTTCTACACTTTTAAATTAATTAAATAATGCGGTGTAACGTTAATAACGTTTGTTCATTCTATACACCGTAAAAGCTGACCCCCTTTTTTTTCGGACAAAATTACTAATAATGCTGGTCAAATGATTATAATGAGGGTCAGAGTTTGCTTATTTCTATTCACAGGATTCTACGGTAAGCAATACCAAGTCTATCGATAGAAAATTCGGTTTATTTAATATTGTGATAGTTTACTATAAAATTATTGACCATGTAACTCGCCTTCAAAAAGAATGAGATAGATCAAAAACGATTCAGTTTGGTTTTAATAATTAATTGCTTTATAAAAAAATCTTAGATTTTACAAAAGTAAATAATTATAAAAATGACAGGGTATGTAAAATAGTAGATAATATAATGATTCTATAAATTATCTTTAACATTAGAGTTTGCAATACTCTTATTAAAAAAATTTAGAAAATTTAGAAAATTTAGAAAATTTAATCTGCGGATTTGTGAAGCGTTCGTTTATATAATAAAATGAGTAACGAAAATGCAAAGAAATTTTGATAAGATAACGAGATAAAACACGATCATTATCTAATGATTCGATCGTCATGCCACCTAGCATTTGACGATAAGGCTTGGTATGAGTATGTGGCTTTCTCTAAACACTGACCAAAGTACACGTAATCTTCAAAGAATTTTCTATAGCTCAGCCATGATTTAAGAAACGCGCAAAATAAAAAAAGCCACAAACGAATTATTACGAGGAATGAAGATTAAAAGATTAATAAATTTCGTGTCTTACAATTTGCTTATTTCAATAACGAATGACGGAAAAAATTTAGATTCTTCTTTCACGCGCCCTAATTTTTGTTTGAATGTGTGTATATTTATGCTTTGTTTTTGTTTTCTGTTATCGTGATGTTCGAGTTGAAATAACAAGTGAACAACGATTAATAGACGAGATTATGCAGTAAAGCAAGAAACCTGCTAATAATGAATCAATATAAAATATAAAATATAAAATATTCCTATATTTTCTCATCGATCATAGTATAAAATAATTAATAAAGCGGGGCGCCGCAGAATTAATTACACAAAACTGGTTGCTATTGGACTTTTGATTTTTTCAGACTAGAAATTCTCCAGCAATTTTGTTATTGATTTACAAAAAGAATATGATGATGCGGTATCGAAATGGATATTATGCTTTTTGGAGGAAGTTACTATGGACAATCGTATTGATTACAATAATATTATTCATGAATAAATGTGCAGCATTTTCAGTCTCGGGAGCATTTCAAGATGTAGAAGATACAATATCATCTTCGTCGTCGTCATCTTCTACAAATAATTCAACAGAATCATCAAATTCTAAAACAAATTTAAATCACGGGGGAACCGTCGTAGCAATATTAATAGGCTTTTTAATATTTATATTAACAATAATCTTAGCCTGTTGTGTTTTGATATGTTGCTTGTTCAAACGACGACAAAAACGTAAGGTTGGTTCTTTTTCTCGGTCACGTAGTTTCGGTGCAGCAACAGCTGAAAAACCCACTACGCCATACTTGATTGTATCAACACCCGAAGGAAACAATTTGCAACAATATTTCCCAGACGACAATGATCATGATCTAGAAGGATCAAGTTCTTCGTTTGAAGATGGTGAATCAACATTAATCTGGGATGCAAGTCAAGCGATGGGTCTAACGGAGGGAGAGACTACAATTTCCTCGCCTCCGCCTGCCTATCAACAATTACCACAAACCAAGATGAAAAAATCTAACAATGGATCATCTAGAAATCGACCACGGGATCTGTCAGAAATTCCAGTCCCGTCTCATCTGAAACTTAGTTCGGCGCCGAGTTCTCCGAGGGAAAATGAAAATGATGATATATAAAATCGGGAATTTGCAAATGTATTTTATATTCAAATTTCGAATGTACAAATTCTTGTATATATAATAGTTTATATGATTAGGTGAAAATATAATTAGCTAATCATTTCTTTTATTTGTATTTAATACTTGATAATTTATTGCCAATTAACTAACTGACTATTCCCGGATTTCTCACGTGATTAAAGAAATTCATTTACGTTTACGATTTTTTCTTTTCTAACTAGGTAACTTTTTAATAAAATAGCTAATCAGAGTTTGATAAAATAATTGAAATCGATTAAATTTAGCTATTATTTAATATCGATATATATTATTAATTGTTATTCTCGCTTCGCCTTATTCTTTTCCGATTGAGGCTGTGAATCAGATAAACTTTTATTCTAACGCCTCTTTAAATCCATAAACAATGTGAATCATATTGATATAAATATTAAATATTAAAGAAACACAGCCTTGCAGCAATTCGGTAGTATTATTTGTATAAGCGTCGCTCAATTGCCATTTATTTCCCAGTTCTACGTGCGCTTTGGTTTTATTTGTTGCCGCTGTTTAAATTTGATTCCTTGACACGGAAAAGTTTTATTCATCTCGACCTTTTTCTGGTCGATTGCTGTTCTTGTGCTTTTTCGTAAAATACAATGAAAGAGAAATTATTGTTTTATAATATAATAAAAAGAGCATGAGATCTTTTTTGTGTGTTTCTATATCTATTAGTTATTGAAAATATAAATTTTTAGTATAGATTATTAATTGAAATTTGTTAGTGTGGTGTGAGACAATTGCTTTTTCATCTTTTTTTATCCATTGGATTTATTGATAAAATAATTAAAATAATAATAATAATAATAACTCAGAAACAACAACAACAACAATATTAATAATAACAACAATAACAACAATAATATTGCTGAAGTCATAACTCAAAGTCCAATATCAACGACAGTTAAAAAAAAAAGATTTCATCACATTAATAACAACACCAACATCCGAATCAAACTAACCTCATCAACCCCATCACAAACTACTACTCTAGATTTCCAATGAGTGTTCCATCAATGTCACCCTTGCCAGAGGACACAACAAATTCACCCTCGAATGATACGTCGACAACAATAATAACAATAAGTGTGATTGGAGCAGTCATATTGATTCTATTAGCAGCATTTCTGTTTTTATATTGGAAACGTCATAGAAACAGAAAATATCGGGAAAGTACAGTAATTTCACAGAAAACAGTGAAACAAAGATTCACTCTTGATCATATACTTGGCACTGCTAATGGATATCAAGCTGCCGATTCGGATGTTTTTTCGATACCTTCAACTTCAGCTAGTGGTGGTGACACTCGTCCACAATCACTAGTAATTCAAGGTAACCCGCATGTACAGCAAAGTATGCGACAAGTAAGCACGAGGACAGTATCAGATCATGGTTCAATCGTAACTCCAACGCCGATAAGAGATTCAATTGATATTTCAAAATTTGATGCCTATTCAAGCGGATTTAAAGATGATGAAGAGTCATTAGTGTCATCATCTAGTCAACAACGTCCTTCACTTCAACCACAACAGAGCTTAGAAAGTAATGTGCCAGATCGTCAAAGTCAGCATGATCATTCTGCTCAGCCGACACCAAGCCAATCTCAATTAAGACAGCAAGGATCGGATTATTTTAGTCAGAATCAGGGTCAATCTAGCACTACACGTCCTCTATTACAACAAAAAAGTTCCGCACACAATATGCATGCGGTTGAAACTCAACGAGAAATATTGGTTGAGACACCAAAAGTTTCAAGTAAACATAATTTAGAATCTCATCGGTCACCATCACGAGTTGATCAATCAAAAATTGACACAACTTCATTCCAACAGCCTCAACTAACTAGAAAACCTAGTTCACCACTTCAATTTAATCCGCATCAATTGGAGCATCAGCATAGAAATGTTCCACCGTTACCACAAAAAAGTCCCGAGCACAATAAACACGCGGTTGAATCTCAACAAGAAGCTGTAGTTGCTGCTGCTGCGATTGACACATTGCCAAATGTTTCAAATAAAGATAATTTAGAGTCTATTCCACTTGACTCAGAATCTCATCGGCCACCACCACGAGTTGATCATCCAAAAATTGACACAACATCATTCCAATATCAACCTCAACAACCTCAATTAAATAGACAACCTAGTTCACCACTTCAATTTAATCCGCATCAATTGGAGCATCAGCATGGATATACTTCACCGTTACAATTTAACCCGCGGAGTCCATCGCCACTTCAATTTAATCCACATCAATTGGAGCATCAGCATGGCAATACTTCTCCATCACAATTTAACTCGCGGAGTACTGGCAGTCCACCTCCAATTCAATCTCATCCACCAAAGGTTAATTCACCTCCGATTCAAAACCAACCGCAACATGCAGATACTGCTTCAGTTAAATTTCCTATTCCACACACAACTAACTCACCACCACCACCATCGCCACCATCTCAACAAATTTATCCACAACCAATAATGAGTCAAATTGATTTATCGGATCAAGCTATCGCACCTCCTCCTCCACCTCCATCAGAGCATCCCTTACAGAGAACTGGGTCACTAAAACGAAGCATTTATAAAAAGAATCGTGATTCATCATCACCCACACCATCAGAGGGTTCACTTCGTCGAAGCTTATTGCGAAGAGGAGGTGCAGCTAGTGGTGGCGGTGAAGGGACACCAAGATCTGAACGTAGTAGAAGCCGCGATAGTTCTGAGGCATCCGATCATGGCACAACTTTTAGAGCTGATGATATTGGGGTTGGCGATCAACACAGTCCCAAATCATCGCCTCCAATTGCGCCCCAACAATATGTTCAAAGTGGTCATATTCCGCCACTACGTGACCTTTCTCCCGGACATCCTGAATCTCCCCAAGATCCAGGAACTCCTGCTCGCGAAGGGTCACCTGAAAGCTTTGCAAGTCGTGGTCGTTCCCGTGCAAGATCACCATTTGATGAAGAAAGGCATCAAGGTGGTGGAAATTGATGAATAACAAAAGAGTCGAATTATTTTTAAGCATTTTCTGATATTAAACTTTATTTTTTTTGTACAAATAAATATTCTTTCCAAAATTATTTCAATTTCGTATTGTTATAACCAAAATGTAGCGATAAATATTACTTTGCTAATGGAGTGTCTCAGCGTCTGCGATTTCATATTAAAACACGTTTACTTTATAATGAAATAATACCATCTAATCAAAATTTGGTTAAGCTGGGCGAATAAGGGAATATTTAACATAATTCCAAAAAAGAAGACCGAATAATACATACAAATTTTATCATTAAAACAAGTTTAACAAACAATCAAATTCAACGATTTTAATATACCGTAATTAGGAAAAATCAATAATAAAAATAATATTGTTAGCCGTAAATTTTTTTCTTCTTCATTTAAAGGTGTTTGCCGCAACAGTTCGTAATCAACTACTGTAAAGTTTTTACGTACTTATCTATTCTTAGTATTAAATACTTTAACTTTTATTTTCTTATTATTCTTATAAGCTTTACTTTCTTAGCACAATTCTGTTTACCTTACTAATTTTAGCTATTATCGTTATAATTATTATTATTATCCAATAAAATACATAATTATCCAAGATAGACCCTTCGTCACCCTTCTGAGATATAATCATATTTCCTACTCTATATATAACATTATACCTGAGATTTCATTTTTTCCTTCTTAATATTAACTATTATTTGACACTCTCTTAGGCATACAAAATTAATATTCGAGTTCTCATAATCTGGGATCAATTTTTGCAAATCTTTAAAAAAAATTATTTATTATAAAATCTCCTTTCAAATATTGTAAAAAAATTTATATGTTTTTATATTTTTTTGAAATAAAACTATATAAGATTTTAGAAAACAAAATTAAAGGCTGGGTGGATGAGTGACTTTTAAAGTTTTATGTTATGAGAATAAAATTAATTTTATATAATATTATATATATTTATAATTTATTTAATAATATTATACATTATTTATAATTTCTTTTAATGATCATTATTTTTATATGATTTATAATAATTAATTATATTTATAAATTATTTTCAAATTCAATAAGATTTCTTTTTATTATGAATTATTATTTTTATTATTAATTAAATTTAATAGAAAATTGCTAAATAACTCTTGCTTCTTATAATAATTACTATTTTTATTACAAATATAGAAATTAATCTTATCAACTTTTAATTTATATAAAGTATTTCACTTCAAGTTCTTTTTATTAATTATTAAAATAATAGATAAAAATTAAAAATATTATTTTGGATATTCATATTCTTTAAATTTTTTTATTTAATTAATATTGAAATTTGATTTAATATTTTAATAAATTAATATAATATTTCAATATTTTAATATTTCTAATTCTAACTTTAATATTCAGATCTTTTTAAAATTAATATTTTGTTATACAAAATCTAACTTATAAATTTTAATAATTTATTTATAATTATAAAATAAAATATATATTTTTAAAATATAAATCTTTAAAATATTGAGATAAAATAAATTAGAATTTTGAAAATTAAAATTTTAAATTTTAAATTTTAAAAATATTAAATTATTACAAATTTGAAAATATTAATATATTAAATATTCAGAATTTTAATATTTTAACTATTAATTTAATATTAATAATTACAAAATTTTTTTAAATATTATATTTATAATATGATTATCTTTATTATTTCTTCTAAAATATAAATAATAACTTATTAATAGCTATTAATAAAATAATTATAATTATAGATTAGTGCAAAAAGATTTATATCTCAAATAAATATTAATAAATTATTTTTTCAAACTAAAATTTTAATTCTTTCTTATTTAATTAAGTTATTAGATATTAAAATTTATTTAAATATAAAAATTTTTATTAATAATAACTTTTTTCAATTATTATTTCTTAAATTTTACTATATAAAATTTGATTAAAATTAA